CCCCAAAACCCCAAAACCCCAAAACCCCACTCGATTAAAGTAAAAGTAAAATTGATAGAAGTAAATTTAAATTGTGAATAAAGGGAGAGATTAAATATTTTCGAAATATGAAAAATTAATTATCCTCAGAGATGAGCGACAACAACTTCACGTATCGTTTGCCCGATGATGAATCCATACTAGATTTAGACAATGATTTGGATCATGAAGATGAGTATCAAAATGACAACGAATAAGATGAAATCAGTCATTCAAAAAGTGTAAGCTCGTCGAAGATTAATGCTAATCAAAAATCTCCGTAATAAATGAGAAAGTCTTTGATAATGAACAAATTAAGCGAAAGAGAATTCAATGCTGGCCAAAGCAGGCAACAAATGCAGCCTAACAAGATATCTTAGAGTAATTAATAGATTTACACCAATAGGAAATCTATGATTTCTGATAACTACTCCCAATCTTTTGATTCAGCTATTGAAGACCAAACTTAATAATTCATTGAAAGTAATTTGAGCTCAGCTAGAAAGTAGCTTAATCAAATTGAAAGTGAGATTATCTTAAATGACATAAATAAATAGCAGCTCATAGATGATGAGAGACTAGTCACCAATAATGAACCTATTATTACACAGAGATCATAAATAAATCATGAAAATAAAATTGAAAACAACAAAAATAATTACATTAGCTAAGGCCAACTTAACAATAGAAATGGAGTTTTGAATACTTATTAGACAATTAAAACTCAGAGTATCATTATGATGGACGATGGCATCAATGAGATTGAGTCAACTTAACTCAGATAAGAATCAGTAGGGAATATTACCTCAGGTGCCTCTCCACACAAGCATTCAATTAAGATCAAATCTCATAAGAAAAGATAGAGACCACCTACAGCTAATGAGTTCAAAAGAATCAACTAGCTTTAATGCACGAATGACGCCTCTCACAGTGATATTTCAACTAGAATGATTAATTAGAATGATCTAAATGTGAGTAATATCCAATCTCAGTAGCACTTGCCCAGACATTCTGGTCCATAATTGATCCAGTCCACTAAAGGATTAGGTGCAGGAGGCTAAATAGTCTAGAACATAGGAAGTCTAAGCTAGGCAAACATATACCAATAAAACATGAACTAATTATCACAAATTAACTAAAAAACTGTACTAAGGAATGACTAGAACGGGACTAGTCCACATATCACTTCATAAAAATCTCAATTCACCACAGCTAATAATAATGGTCAGGTCAAGAGTAGAATGAGTCTTCAAAAAAAGCAGAATATTGCAGTGGCACCTTAGGAAGATTTATTCGATAAACTATTTGAAACCATAAGGGAGAATATATAGACGGAGGACAGGAATAAAGCAGTAAACCTAGGTAGTTATCTAATATTAGTAATATTTATTATAGAACAGTTTTTGTACAATCAAGAAAAGTCAGATCACATGAAGAATATGAAAATAGAGCTTGAAAAATAGCATTAATAAAAGGTACTAGAAACGCAGCAAAGATATAAAAATTACTAAATCAAATCTTAATAGATATTAGAGAAATTAAAGCACAAATAGGTATGAATCATTTGAATAATATGTTTATTAGAAAATATTTGAAAACACATTAAATCTACTTCAGGATAAAGCTGAAATTGAGATTCATCTCCTTAATAAAACTTAGGAATACAAATTGCAACACTAAGGTGCATGGTTTATAGTCCAAAACTGGCTATTTTCTACTATCTTAGATCAAGAAAAATGCATGCGTTACGCTTTGCTTAAATCTCTGAAGTAATTAGAGTTTGTGAAGCAGTAAAAGCAAGCTTATTAGGAATCTAAAATTTTAAAGTCATTGGAGACTCTAATTAGCTTCAAAAACTTTTAATACCTAAAAATTGCCTCATCCTCAAAGCCAAAGTAGGTCAAATCTGATATGATAAACTACCTTAAGGAAAAGCTTGGATAGCAAAGCTTGCAGATAGAATAAATCGCTGTCATGAGAGCGAAGCCCTACCTTAAACAGTCTAATTTATCCTATAAATACGAGATTCATTCCAAATCATAGAGACTACTTAGTTTACATAGTTTGACATAGGATTTAGGCAGAATTATTTAGAGTACTGAGGAGCTTTTTCACATAAACCCAATAAAGATTTAAGCCAAGCTAAGCAAGTTAGATTTGGAGTAGATAGTTATTTAAGATGGCTGTGTACAGGTATTTTAGGATCCAGAGTGCTGCTCTCGAGATATGAGAGTATTTATCTGCTGTAAAGATGCTGTAGGTGTGGACAATTTCTTAAGTGAAAAATCCTAAACCAAATCAGGAGTTAATTTGCATCACAAATTGGCTCATGATGCTAAACCTTTCGCTGAATTTGTATCTTAGTAGTAATTGAATGAATAGTCCTCGTAAGATAACATCTATAAGATTAAAACAAACGAAACTCAGATTAAAAAGATAAAAGGCACAAATTAAGTGAAAATATAAAAAGACCTTAATACTTTTGCTCTCTTGAATGAGTGCAAAATTTAAGATCTGCTGAAAAGCAAGGTCTTCAATAAAGTCCTAGAAGTTAAAAATAATGATAAGACTGTCTAGTAGGATAATCTTATTTCTCAGTTTTACATTATAGAAGAGAACTCTCAATTTAGCATTGAAGAAAATAAGCCAATAAACCAAATAGTTACAAAGGATCGTAAAGTCAAACAAATAAGGAGACTCAATGACTTCGAAGTGTTACTGTTAATACTCAAATTAGTAAAAACTTAAACTGCAGCTCAAAATGTGGAAATAAAATTTCAACAGGACGTGTTGAAAAAGATCCATGCTTTGAAAACTTTGAAATAAGACCGAGCGAAAGAAATGACTACCAGCATTAACGCATTTGATGATCAAACACATTACATTTTGATTAATAAATTGGAAACCCAATCAGGCAATCTACTCAAGTAACATTACTTAAAAGTGACCATTGCAGATCTAAATGCTACTATAATGAGGTAAAATAGTTTATGCATCGGTCCTGCTAACTAAGCTAACCTTGGAAATCTTTAGGTACATCAATGTAACTGGTCTAATTGCCTCTAAGTTCTGGACCCAACCCTCTACCCTATGCTAAATGATATCCTTCAGAAATAACTGCATACCATCTAGTAAACACCCTAGATTTCAAATCAACCATCTCAAAATATCCCTCATTAGCAGTCCACAAGAAAAAGGCCTCAATCTGGAAATAAAAATCATAAGGAATAGGCAATTATTAGAAAACTTACTAGGCTAAATATTATGCTAGAACTTGAGGTAAAAGATTCAATATACCTGAGATTCATGAAGAAATTTAAGTTAAACAAAGAGAAATCAAGCAAGACTCTTCTCCCTTAAGCTACGTTAAACAATAATAATAATAGTACTAATATCTCACTTTAATAAGCTAGTCAGAATGTGATACCTAGTATATCAACTGCGTTTACTAATTCAATACCATCAATAGTAACTTAGCAGGAATTTAGATCTTACCAGGGAACATAAAGAAAGGATTTGAGTAATGTATTGGCTAATAGTTAATTGATACTATGCAATTACCATCGTGATTTGGAATTATTTATTGCAAACAAGTTCAATGTGAGACTCTAACCTCAGTAAGGATAGGCATGTATTAAATCTTATAGGTCTATAATTTGTAATAACTTTACAAAAGCTTTAAAGAACTTTGAAAGTTGGAAAGATGAGATAAAGAACTCCCTTTCCTTTGATATATTAGTTGATACAGGCAAGGGAAATTACCTAAAAGAGAACATTCATAAGATATTCAATTTCAGCATTAATCAGAGCAGTCGTAGCTCAAGCTATCCCAATATATACAGTTTGCTAGAAATTCTTCAGCAGTAGCCACCATAGATCAATATCATTGAAAGTTTCTATGTTTGGATCGATAGATATATCAATAGCAAAAAGTAAGCATTTGCAATATATTACAAACGATATAGGTTATTCTTTGTAAAAAACCCACATTTTCAAGAGGCAAACATTCATTTCATACAATAATTATCCAATCTAAACCAGAATCTAAGATAGACATTTGAAAACGAGCAGTACATTGTGAACGAGATCAAGAAATGGATTAGCTCTTAAGACCTGCCTAAATCTTACCTGAGAGACATATATGGTTAAATCTTGGAAGTAATAAGAGTAAAGGATGTGATTTTCAAGTTCCAATAGTTTTAGTTTATAATAGACAGAATCAATTCATTTAAAGGACAACAATCAAACTAAATTTAACCATAACAAACCAATGCCAGCAATGGGCAGATTTTGGTAGCAGGTGTTGGAAGACCAAGTATCAATGCTCAGTTTATGAGTTAATTTAGCCATGAGAGTCAAAATTCAGGGGTTTTGCCTCGAATAAACGAACAGGCACCGAATTCAATAATTGGTGGATAAGTCTAGGCCACTGGATTAAACTTGAGCAATCAAAGTAGAATTATCTAAATGAGTGGAATGCAACCAAATATCATCAGACATGATTATAAGCCTCAAGGCACAAGTAGTGTTGTTGAGAAGTTAACCAGTATATACGGAGTCAGCTAAGGTGGAATTTCTGGGCTCGGCAATAGTGTCAAGAAACCCACATTTTAGCAAAATGACTTTACTCAAGCAACAATCAGATAACTCATAGAGTAAAAGATCACAGGGACATCAACAGCAGAATAACTATGTAATTTCTATATTCTTATCATATTAATAGATCTCAAGCAGACTAATAATCAATCTATTCAGCAATAACAACAATAGCAGCAGCAAAACTCTTTTATGGCTAGGAAATACTCAGCAGGGAATAAAAAGGATTTTAGCTTGCCGCCACCAACAACCCACGACATTTCCTAGTTCCATTAGTACAGTGCAAAGAATGAGATCCCTTAACTAAACCTTATGACTGCTAATACTGGTGAGTACATAGTAAATAGGGGCGATGGCATTACTGCCGTGAACTATAATAACTCACTTAATAATTCAAATAACATTAGCAAGGAGGTCATTGGCCTACCTACTGGCTATATCAACACAAATCTCACTAAGAACGTTGGGTTTAATCCTAATCAAAGCTTATCTCAGACTAAGAATCAAGGGACCAATGGTAAAATGATACCACAGAACTATCAAAGTTCGCCTATGTCTAAGAGTTTATATAAGGCACCTTTCGCTTAAATCGCAATGGCTAGTGGTAATTCAAACAATATCTAGGTCAATCATAAGCAAAGAGCTAGTAGTGCTTATAAGTAGAGATAAGAGCCACAGTCTCTGGAAGTTGCCTAGCAACAATAGAATATGAGCTATCAATCGAATACAGTAATGAGGCCTAATACATCAACCTCTTAATTTCAAGTCTAGTAATAGCAGTCAGTCCCTATTAGTTCAGCTCAATATCAGCCTAACCCAGTTCTAACTGGCCCATATTACAATAACACCAGCAATGTCCTAAGTTCAGACCATATCAATGCTCAATACAACATTGTTCCCATAATGAATACTCAGCATATGGTTTCTAACAATCTTGCCAGCCAAACAATGTATGCAGGGGGTACAAATCAAAACTTTTTAAACAGAAAGGCAGAAGCAGGTATCACTGGAATGGGAGGGTTCTAGTAGCCTCCACCGAAATTCCCTGTTAACAACCAATATACTCTCTAGCAGTAGCAGCTTTAGTAGATTTATAATACCAAGATTAACAAACCTTAATTGATGGCAGGACAACTTACATAAACCTCTGGATTCGGCCATACCATTACAAACTTCTCTTAGCCTATTGGATAGAATCAATCACATTCTAAGTAGAGATAGGATAGACAGCAAGCTATCGTAATGACATACTCTAATGCAGTCCCTAGGATAGGCAGTGCCCATCCAAATGAAAAGGAAAAGAAAAAACTGAGTGGGACTTTCTACGAGAAGCCTTAAAGAAAGACTAAGAAGCAAAGTAGCAACAACAGCGATAGAAAATAGATTAAACTGAATAACTTTGTTAATCTCAAATGAATACTTATAGTTAAATTTAGAAAAAGATTTAATATAATGAATAAAATAAGACCAAGTTTTAATTTCATGAATATTCTTAAGTATTAATTTATTTATTTATTTGATATCAAGTTCTTATTCTTCTGATCTACTCTTTTGTAGAATTCCATTTCAGTTGCCAGGTCTAAGGTAATGAGCCAAATGCTCAAGTCTCTCCAATATATTTACAGTGAAGAGAGCACTAGTAAGTGAGAGCAGGAATCTGAGCCTGACTCCAGTGAAGAAACCCAGAAGCCCTCCTTGATTGTAAATGCTTCTGAAGCTCTTTACATATGTGGATGTAGGGTCTACTTTTTCCATGTGAGTTTTGACACAATCGAATGGCATAATTATTGTGGTATTGACCATTGCAACAATCAATGATGACATCATGAGGAACTTAGTAGGGATGCGTTCACTCTCCTTTATATTCCAAATTCTTCTGATTTAGCTCTTGAGCAAGTGATCTGTCTGCAGAAATACCATCCAGGACACAGACTGTCTCATGAACAATGGAGTGAAGCCTCTGAACAACTCATGAAAAGCATTTCCCTTAATGATCTTGAAGAACTGTTAGTAGCTCAATCGCTTTTCAACAGTCATAAAGTACACCTTGATTCTCTCAATGGGGCAAGTAAGTGTGGCCTCTACTAAGCCAATGCTTGAGCCTGTGAGTAGCTTTTAAATGGATTTGTTATCTTAGATTTATCTAGGCAAGTTATTCTTGTAAAAGTTAGGCATCCCGACCATCAATGGATAGCGGTAGGAATTTTTAATTAAAACTCGAGTAAAGTTGGGTAAAGACCCTGCGTAGAATCCCTTAATGCCCTTATTCTAATATATGTCCTTGATTATCTACAGGGATTGATCTTAAATACTGATAATTTACTTACATGGAACTCATTTTTAAGGTAAGGTTTAGCTTGCCACTAGGTTTTTATGGAGTCGATGGGATGTTCAATGGGAAAGCCTATGATGCAAAAATGAGATCAAAATTATGTTCAAAATTATAAATAATGGAACTAAATAAATGGAATGATTCTTACCTGCAGCAACACGGAACATTCCCGCTGCAGCTCCCCAGAAGTAAAGAGAACTCTATTTAGTCTTCATTTGCTTCTCTACATTATCCTTAATGGTGGCTGGAGATGAGTTGCCATGGTTGGAGAGTTTAGACTAATTCTGTAAATTTTGATCCATTGAAATATTATTAATAATTTATTCTATGTCAAATGTAGTAATTTATTAAATTTTATGTCCATCCAATATTCAATTTATCCTTATGGGGTTTTGGGGTTTTGGGGTTTTGGGG